ACGCTGTGCCTTCTCTGGAGCTCACTGGGGATCGTGCCCTACCCCACCCTCTGCATCCTGCAGGTCAGCCGTGGCAGACGGTACTGGTGCCCAGCCTGAGTGGGCATGCTCAGCTCCTGGGCAGGGGCACCAGCAGCTTGGGGACATGACCTTGAAGTCTGGTAGAAGGACAGGGGGACTGGCAAGTAACACGCACACTGCCCACAGCCTGGTCCACGACTGTCCTGTGTGCGGTGCACACCCTCTCCTGGGCTCCGAGCTGGGGACAAGCCTGCCTCAGCCGCCTAATGCAGAGGTCTGCTTGCCCTTCTGATTCTTAAATCACAGCCTTGATGTCCCCGCCTTGAGACCACATCCCTGGGCTGGCACCAGGTCCCCCAACCCTTGGACTCTTCCTCCGAGGCTGTGAAATGGGCCTACGAGCTTCCTGAGCATCCTTAGCTGCTATGGGGACCCCATGGCACAGGAGCCCATGTTATGGAGTGCACACTAGATACATGAACTCACAGGTGTGCAAGGCAAAGCAGGAGGACAGCCACATCGCTGTGTGCTGCGGTCCAAGGGTGAAGTCTGGGGCGGGGGGCAGACCCTCAGAGCCACAGGCTTCCTTCCTCTTCCTCCTGCCTGTCTCGTGCAGTTCGTTTATAGAGGTCCACCAGCTCTGAGGCAGCTCGAGGCAGGGCAGCAGGGCACAGGGGCACAGAGGAGGAGAAGCTGCTTGTGGCTTGGTGGACAGGAGCAGAAGTTAAGGGAGGAGCAGGCGCTTTTGTGAGCTCGCTTTTGTGAGCAGCACCGCCCGCCCCCCAGCTATCTCTATCTGCAGCCATCAAGACCAGGCAGGAAATTAAAGTAGGCATCGGGGCATCTGCAATAAGCAGCTCAGGCCCGGACCATGTGTGTTTGCAGGAGGATCGTGGAGCCCTCGCCTCCGTCTCCAAGGAGGCGCTTGACCCAGACGGCGGCTGCTGACGAGCTTGACCATTCCAGAGTGGGAGGGGGCAGTGGGGAGAGGGTGGGAGGGGGTGGGGACACAAGCCCTGTCCCCTGGGAGGAGTGGTGGCACACAAGGCCAGCAGCTCCCCACAGCTGCAGGCAAGGCCATAGACCTCCTCCCCTAGCCTCAGCCTCCATGAGTCAAAACAACTACATTGCTCTGACCTTTCCTCTTTCTCTCTTCCTACTGATTTGAGGGTTCCCCTTTCCTAGTTTCTTGAAGTATGACACTAGTTGTATCCAAGAGCTCTCTTCTTGTTTGATGTAGGCATTTGTCCCCCAAAAGTCTCCTGCCTGGGTGGTAGGGCTCAGTCCAGAAAGTGACCTGTGATGGAAACAGGATTGCAGTGAGCTACGCAGGTCACCCTGCAGCGGAGACCCCCATCTCCGTAACTGGCGTCCTTTGGCAGAGACGCAGAGTGGAGCACTCGCCCCAGCCAAGGAAGCCGGAGGAGCCAGAGAAGGCTGAGGCTCAGGGCCCTGCGACACCTGGCTCTCGGGCTCCGGCCTGGGAAGAAGTGTGCAACAGGTCAGGTCTGCCGGTTGAGCCGCCCCCTCTGCAGCATTTGGCTCTGGCTTCCTCCGGCTGTTTCTCTGTTTCCCCAACTCTGTGGATCCAAGTGGTGGCCTTCAAGATCTGGGCGTGGTGGTGGTGGCGCATGCCTGTGGCCCCTGCAAGACTCCACCCCAGTGCGGCCAGGCCCGTCAGGCGACTCCATGGCCCACTGGAGCCACTCACTTGGCTCTGGGAGTTGGGAGAACTGACCCTCGGGTCCTCTCCCCCAGGCCAGCATCTCACAGAGGGGTGGTTCCCCGCCTTCCCAGCAGGCCTTGTCTGTGCAGGGGGCTGCTGGTCCTCGGCACTGTGTCCTGCAGCTGTGGCCTCAGGTCCCCCAGGGGTGGGACAGGGAAAGCCACACTCCCCACGCTGACTCCAACCCTGCAAGCTCAGCAGGGCCTCGACAGGTCTGGCCTGATCGCACCTCCTGGTCTCGGCTTGCTGTGTTTCCTCCGCTCACAGTGACCTCAGGACCGGCTCCTCCTGCAGAGATATGCTGGAGCAGCTGCTTGAGACTCCCCCTCCCCAGCAGAGCTGAAGGGATGCGTGAACACTCAGAGCTAACGCAGCTGCGGGGAGCGAGGCAGGCAGTGTGGGCTGCTCAGCTCAGTTCAGTCCTGGGGCCCTACGAGCTGTGTGACCTTGGCCAAGTCACTTAGTCTCTCTGTGCTCCAGTTTTCTCCCCTACACATGGGAAGAATAAGAACACCTGCCCTGGAGTTGTTGGGGGAATTCTGTAAGACCCTGGCAGCAGCAGATTCCGCGCCTGACACCAGTTAAGTCAACTTCCTGCCATCCAGGGCTGCATCTCGCTATGTATGCCTTGTCCTGTGCCCTGCTTAGAGACTCATTTTCTTAGATGCAGCCATTCTTTTTTTCACACATCTGGCTCAGCTCATTCATCATCTCCTGCTGAGCAATTTACCGTCGTCATTGGAGACTACAGTGCCAGAGATGGAACGCAGGTTAAGAGGCTGTGGGCTGGCACCTGGGGAGACACATGTTTAGTTGGAGGGAAGAGGATGGGTAGAAAAATGGCTCTTAAGAGCTCAAAGGCACTGGGACTTTACCGAGCCCCTTGACCTCAGCCCGATGAATGCATCACAGTAGCTATGACCAGAGTTCAGCAGCAATCCGTTCTCAGGAGACTTCCTGTTGGGAAATCACCACAGGGTGTGCAAAAGGGGGGCACAGGGTGGTGGCTGTGCCACTGTTTCGGCCTCATCTCTCCCCCCTTATTCAAAGTACCTAAGCATCTGGTGGGTAAGTAACATTCCCTGAGACAAGGGAAGAGGAAGATAATCCACCACCACCCCAGCCTCTCTCTCAGGCAGCCCAGTGGGGGTGAGGACAAACTGGTGCTTGAAACACTGCAAAGTATGCAGCGTAGTGCAGACTGTTGTCACACACGCGCCTTCTGCCGGGAGAAGGCTGGCGCCACTGAGCAGAGCTTTGTCTCCTGCCAGCGCCAGACACAGCGCCCTCACAGCTCACAAACCACGTCCACTCTCGCTCTCAGGTCCTGTGTGCCCAGCTGGGTTCAGAGATCAAGGCTCAGGGCAACAAAGGGGGCAGCTGAACCTGAGCCCCCGTGCCTGTGCAGGAAACCCTGGGCTCTCTTCACCAGGGTAAGGTGTCCCAGTCCTGCAACAGCAAGCAGAAACACCAAAACAACACCTAGGATTTGGAGGCAGATTTACTGACATCGATGGGCACGGATCATTCCCAAAATATCAGGCCCCAATCTCTGGTGGTCTAGGGCTTACATGGGATAAGCAAGCAGGAAGTACAGAGGCAGAATGGCTTGTCAATTGGGGATTGGTTTATACAATGTGCATCATAATGACCAGCCCTTTCTAAGAGACAGGAGCAACCGCAACCGGATTTGGAACAGGAACTATTACCTGGGTAACTAACAAACTGAAGTATACTGGCTGGTGGGGGGATATTCCACTACAGGATGGTGCATGTCTCTGTCTGCTCCACCTTCTAGAGGCCTCTGGCATTCCACAGCCCTAGTCCCATTCTCCCTCTTCAAAGCTGCTACATAGCAGAAGGCCAGAGATTAGGGCGTGGCAAGTGGCTGAGCAAGTGGGCGTGACCTGTCAATCACAGAGATCAAGGATGCAAGCCCAGAACAGAGTTACCAAGCTCTGCACCTGGGACCAATCAGAAAGTGCTATCTTCAGTTCTACCAGCACAAAATCAAGCAGGTTTTTGATAGAATGGCCTAGATCTGACATCAGCCTGAAGGATAAAGGCTACAAAAGACTTTTGCCATTATCTCATGGCTACTGTGAAGTCTCAGTCACCCACCCTCACCCTGCAGAGCATATTTCTTTTCCTACCTTTGACAAATGTAAAACTTAGTACCTTTTTCATGTATCTTGTCCAAGTCTTTGTTCAGACACCAAGGACCTGCAAAGAGTCTGCAGAAATCCAGAACCCTGTAACAGCACCTTCTGATCTCTATGAAGACCCTAGGATGACCTTGGGCCATCTGAATAACGCAAACTACTATCTCCAACTAAGTATCTTTAATACCTCTGCACATTCCCTACTTCCACAGATTCTGAGGATTAGAAGGTAGACAATTTAGGGGTTTCTGTCGAATACCCATTAATATCTTTATAGACTAGCAAATTTAATCTTCATTAGCCCTTTGAGACAAACATGATTTTGTTCCCATTTGGAAACTGAGGCAGAGAGAGGTTAAGGAACTTGCTCAAGGTCACACAGCCAGTAAGTGATGAAGCACTAATTCCAACCCAGGAAGATGGCTTCTTCAGTCCACATTCCTAGGAGCTTTATGTGACATGGCCCAAATAAGCATTGTATTAATGGGGCCGGGGACAACAGCTCAGCAGCAGAAGCGGCTGCCTGGCATTGCATTAATGTTAGCTAACCAGTAAGGTTAACACGACAATTCTTATCCCACATGACGTTTTTAAGAATTTACCTATATGCGAAATGCAGCAGTGCCTGCCTTCAACCCAGACTTCGTATTTTTCCAGTTCTAATAATTCATTCATTTATTTTTTTTTCTGAGACACAGTCATGCTGTGTAATTCAGGCTGGCCTTGAACTCACTATGTAGCCCAGGCGGGCCTCGAATTCACAGCGATCCTCCTGCCTCAGCCTCCCAAGTGCTGGGATTATAGGCGTGCACCACCACGCCTGGCTATACTAATTCACTTTCGTCTTCACCAGGAAGACGCTGGCATGTATATCACCCTCCCCAAGATGGCGCCACTTCCTCCGCCATCCATCCTCCCCACTGCAGCTAGCGTCTATGGCGCAGAAAGCCACAGTTCGATCTTCTAAAGACGGCTTTCACGCTACTCTCCGCCCTGCTCAAAATGACCTCACTCTTCGGCGTCAACCCATCACCTCTGACCTTCTCGAGATGGCGGCGAATATACTACGCATCACATGACACTCTCAAAATGGCGCTCAGGTCGAAAACTCACGGAAACTCAGCGTCGCTGTCAAAGGTACTTCCGGGTGCGCCACAAGCCGGTTTAGAAGGCCTGCGGTGGAGACGGGTGGCGGCCGGACGACCGGCGTGAGCATGGACCGGAGGAAAAAGCCTTTGGACGTCACGGCGTCCTCGGTGAGTCCTCGGGGTTTCCTGGCCTCGGCTGCCGCGCCGACCCCGCAGATCCTGTCCCCGCACGGCTCCGGAGCGCGCGCGTGGCCGGGGGACCTCGCGGGCCTGCGGACTGATGGCGTCGCTGGGGACCCCGCCGGGGACAGGTCCGCGAGGGCCGGGACGGCGTCGAGGTGTCGGCGTCTCGGGCCGCCCTCATCCAGGCGGACGGGGACCGAGCC